GGAAGCAGTACTCTTAGCTAGCTAACTAGATGGTAGCTCCCTTGGGTTACTTACTGAGACCCTATTTTCATGCAGATCTGAGCTATCCTATACCCTCACTGCAATCTAGCTTTTCCTTAAGTATAAAGTCTGATATGCGATGGCTCACGTACAGCTTCAATATTTGAAATAAAGGAAGCTTTATGCAGATTTTGGCTTTTAATGATTCTTCTCTGACAGTAGAAAGATTCAAACCATAGCCAATTCTAAGAACCATGACAGGGTTACTTCAAAGGATCTGACTTGCTGAAACTAAATATAATTCATGTTGCTTTTCTCTATGACATGCCATAATATTTTTTCAAAAAATCTTTAAACATTTTAACTTTGAAGAAGGAATAAAAACAGCCATTTTAGAAACTAGAGACACCCAAGCACTGATCTATTCATAGTTTCTACACAGCTGAAGTTGGCATCAAATAGACAAAAAATAGTACAGAAAACCTATATACACCAAAGATTTAGAAAAATCCATCTCCCAGGAAGCAGGTCAAAAGGACTCAGTTAAAGATCTCACTGAATGTAGGAAAATCTATGAGAAGCAACGTAAAGCCTTCTGCTGGGATATAAATAGGAATCAGTCCATGTAATGAAGAAGTTACTTTCCTTCCTAATCTAAATGCTTGCCTCCAGTCTGTGCTCAGAGAAAGGTCATGGTCATTTGAACTGGTTGTCAATCAAGGTACCCTTCATTTTCGCTTTCTTGGCTTCGAGTTCAGCCTGGAAAGAACAAAAGTGTATGGTTTAATACATTAAATTCTTATTTTCCTTCCTTATTCTAACCACCCCAAACACTCTCCCTTAATGTTCATTTCGTGTACAAAATAGAATAGTGGTTCTAAAATGATTATGCATCTCTAGCAACTGCTTTCCAACCTTTCTGATGTCACAGCACACATAGAAAATGCTATTTGTAGGCAAAACGGGTAAATAGACAAGGCTGCAGCCAAAGGAAGTCAGTGCAGAGATTCCAGCAGCCCCAGCACCCCATCCCCAAGGGCTGAGGGAATCAATATCATGGCATACCAGTATCCTATTCTTGGCAGAACAGGAAGAAGAACATCATTCTAGATCAGTACTACTTAAAGTTGTGTAGTCCATGAACTGTTTGTTATCAGTCCATGCAAGATATGTATAAAAATTGAGAGTAAGCATTCAGAAACTTTTATAGCGATTTGACAGAGTAATAATAATCTAATAAATATTGAGGCCAATTTATTTTATAAATTAAAAATCTGTTCATGACAAATTGAAATTTGTCAAAAATTTAAAAAAAGAAAGCACTGATCTTTCACCTTAGAAAGTTTGAGAAGCACTGCTCTAAACCACTGTGGCAAGGTAAAGCAATTCCCAGGACCTACCACCTCTGTCACCGAAACTCCACTCATTATAAGAGACTGGTATACCTTTTGACCAGGCACCAATAAAGTGATGTCTGATTTTAATGAAATATTTTAGGTAAATTATTATCAAAAAAGCAAAAATCTAGGCACCATCATATATAGATGTACATGCTCTAAGATGATCCAATGACTAATGCAGAAAACCACCAGTGCTTTAAGAAGCAACGACCAACTCCAATTCTGGTATCCCCAAGGTAGCACTATCGTATGCCATCATTTCCTGGAAGAGCAACCAAAAACCCTGACCTTGGACAAGAAGCAGATTAAAATATGCTAATTAGGGCTATCTAACAAGTATCATGACTTGGGGCCTTGATCCTGCGGTCACTACTACAGAGCTGGGTACACCAACAGTCACAGATTGGGGTTAGAAAGCTGGCAGCCAACTACCCTAATAACTCCCAGTAGACTTGCTAAGGGTTTGCCTGCCTGCTGGAAGGTCTTTCAGACCATGAAATCCAAACAATCACCTTTCTACCCCATGCTACTCACCAGCTCTTGCAGTCGCCTCTTGCTCATGCCTTTGCGCTCCAGCTGTTTTTCGATCACTTTGGCATTCTGTGCGTATGAGTCAGCAACTTCTCTCTGAAGGAAAAAGTGTCCTTACACCAGCAGCCTCATTGAGGAATAACAACAAAGACCATAAGTAGTAAATTATACTACTCAAATCATGAAATCATTACTGAAATGGCAGGACTCTGTTCCCTTTCATACCTGTACCTTTTCAATAATCCAGGAGAGTTCAGGTTTCAACCGAAGCCATTTGTAAAATAACACATAACATCTCTCGGTAAACATCATTATACTGAAGTACCATAAAGGTAATTACTGCTATTGCTAAGGGCAGACTCACAAGCCATCAGAGCTGGACTAAAAGGGAACTGCAGCAATTTAGTCCAATAGTTTTTCAAATGAAAAGGGATGAGGGCTTTGCCCTCTAAGGCATCTCAAAAAACCGTATGAAAAAAATAAGTCACTGATCTCATCTAACTCCCTTGTTCTCATTTTACAGATCTCTCTGAGATCCAGGGAAATAGGAACTAGCACAGTCATAGAGTTTCTTACCTGCGGAGCAGAGTCTAAATGCAAAGTCTCTAATTTGTCTGCTAATCAGAGGCTGTAGCTCTAGAGTCCCTTTTCCTCTCCCACACCAAATTCCATCTCTCCTCAGAGCAGAAGCACTTACAGCCTCAATCTCCTCCTCCTCTTCATCAATGGTAGACACAGTGACAGAGCTGAACTTGCCCATGTCTTTAGTCCGTTTGGTCATCATCACCTGGAGTGGCAGGAATAGGAGTTAGCCTAACTCACCACAAGAAGATCCATGAATGGGGGGTGGGGTGGGGTGTGTGCGCCTGTGTGCAGGGCTGTGTGTAAGGGGGACACCTACCTCCTTGGGACAGGCTGACCTATCTAAAAGTGCCAATGTTTTCATTTACATTATAGTTTTCTAACATTTGCCACCAGGGATTTTTAAAGAATATTGAAAAATCATCCTAGTTCATTCAGTTTTTAATTGTTCACATTGGAAAAAGAAGAAATTTTGAAGGAAATAAATGTGACTAAAAACCATACACTTTCTAGCCTTACTCACAAGGCAACTATAGGAAAGAAAAAAATACACAATAAGTGTTATAATTCTATAACGTCTGCTCATACACAAAAATGGCATTTTCTTAATAAAGAATCTACCTCTTAAGGAGAAAAGAAAGAAAGAGAGGGAAAAAAAAGAGAGAAAGCAAGCAAGCATGCATGCATAAAGGGCAGTTTTTCATGCACTGTAATCTTATTTAAAAATCTGGTCTAGGCCAGGCAC